GGTAATGAGTTGCTCAGTTTGAAAAGAAATGTGAATTATTATAGTATCGGGTTTGTGCATGGAGACACAACTTGGATTGGCTGTCGAGATATTTTTGTTGGTGGGTAAGCGACCAGCCCCCACACTAGGTTAAGTGACGACGAGGTATTGGTCCGTCCTGGACCATTAAAGAGTCGTTATTGTGACTCGTCACCTGCAAGTGTTTATTATTTTTGTGCCAGTTTAACAAGTTTCTCTTGAATATTTTGTTCCTACCAGAGTTTCAGGTCTTGGAATAACTTCCAGCCACCGATCATGTAATGCAATGTGTCCAATGCTGTATCGGTTTTAAACTTGGATTTTGGCTTGTACATATTTGTTTCCATCTGTAATAGTTTGTATGTTTAAGCTATAAATGTTCTTTGTCCGTTAGTATTAAAGCTTTTCGTGCACTCTGAAAATATTTAGAGTATTGAATATCTCAAACCTCGGGTGGCTGTAGTTTGATAAGTTGTGGAAATAATGCCCATATTTCTCTAGTTTAGTGCACATTAGAACAGTGGTTGCGTGGGTATGTTAATAGTGGTTTTTATTGGAACAATACTTGGCAGTTTTTTCCCTTCATCTCTGTGAAGGCATAACAGGTCAGTGAAGAAATGCGTTAAATACGCGTTAGAATTAGTGGACAATTAGGAGCCGAGCGGACAGCGCGCTGGACTTTTGATCCTGTGGTCCCGGGTTCGATCCCGGGCGCCGGCGAGAAACAATGGGCAGAGTTTCACCCTATGCCCCTGTTACCTAGCAGTAAAATAGGTACCTGGGTGTTAGTCGGCTGTCACGGGGTGCTTCCTGGGGGTGGAGGCCAGGTAGAGAACCTGGCCGCGGGGACACTAAAACCCCGAAATCTCGAGATAACCTGACACAATGTGAATATAATAGATTGTGGTTATTGACAGAGTTGCTCGCATAAATTTATAATTGTTACTGTTGGAGGTAATGTAAATCTATTGGTGGGTGGAAAAATAGTTGGGTTTAGAAATGGTAAATAAAACTATAAAATTTAAAGTTCCTCAAATTCCCATCCATCCATTGTCAGTAAAGTAATAAATGACAAATGGAAGGACAAAGAATATTAAAAAAAATCTCATTTCCTCAGGTGTGACGGTATACCACAAGGACCGGTGACGTTCGTGTGATGTTTCCATTGGAGGTGGTGTCGGCCAGCACCTGAACAGACGTGTAATTGAGGCAAGTTAAATTTAAGACCATGTTGTGTAAAAATAGCTAATAAAAAAAAAATAGAATGAGCCATATTTGAACAGTAAAGTAGCATAGTGGGTAGATAAATAATTGATAAACCATTAACCCACCCCCTCGTGCAGTTGGTCGTTAATGTGTTGAAAGGCCTTGTGTGACTTGGTGGGGGGGAAGGGTCTCATTCTGCAAGCTTTGTCTCAAAGTGTTCTGAATTGCATTGAGCAGTTCTTCTCCTGCCATAGTTCCTTGGTTCAAAAGTGACACTTTTCCCCAATTTTTGTAATCTGTTTCTTTTGGTTGTTTCCGTTGGTTACTTCCTAAAAGATGGAAGTGTTCACTCTCTGGTTTCCAATATTGTTAGATGCTGCCCTCTAGGAGCTAGTTATGGTCGTGACACCTCGTGTGGTTGCTTTATCTTCACCAACGCTGCCCTTAGTTCTTCCTCGCTATGCTTCCTGCGAAAAGTGGTGTTTTAAGAGGACGGGTTGCATAGTTAGATTCTAAAGTTGGCTGTGTTTGTATTCTTTACCAGTATGGTGTTGGGCAAAGGACAAGGTAGCTTCCTGAATGCAAATGAATTCAGGTAGTTTCCTTCAGGTTCCTGTAAGGTTTCTTGTTGTCTCGGGTCGTTTGTTAGTTGTTTACGTTCATCTCTAGCTGTGCTGTGGCTCTTAAATAAGAAATTTAAATGAAAAGTAATATCCCCCACCCTAACTTTATCACTGCTTAAAATTTAGAATTAAGAATGTGCTGGTTGATTTTGTTTTTATTTTATTTTTGTACATTTAAAAAAGAAAAGGTAATGGGAGTATGTAGTGGTCACCGGTGCTAGTAGTGTTATATAGGTTGACAAGCGTGTAGGTAGAAGAATAGGTAAATTTCCATGGTAGTTAAAGGTAATAGTTGTACAGGGAGCGTATTTATATTAGTAGGTGGAGGCATTTTGCAATGCACTAGTCATGGAATGTAATATTTTATTTCATTTCAGGGAGGAAATGGCGTGTAGAAGGTCGCCACACTGCCGATAAGATGACGTAGAATTGACTTCAGTGGAGCTGTTAACCCCAACAAAGTGTGTAATGTAGAGAAGAGATGACCTGGCTGCCGCAGACATGTCTCCTGCATCGGCAAGATTCGTAGACTAGACATGTGGACGTAAATGTAAATATTGTTGGTCTTGTACCAAAAAAAAAAAGATGAGAAGAAATTTGTAGTTATCATAAGTGCCTTTAATTTATATAAATGATAATCCTACAGTGAAGTTTAAACTTGAAAAATGTTAATTACTAAATGTTTAAAATAAAAGTACAGTATATAAAGTTTGTTGACATAACCAAATACCATTTAAATATTGCTGGTAAACTTCTCTCCTTTCTCCCCCACCCCGCAAGTGAGAAGTGGCAGTTATCTTAACTAGAAAGTGTTTGATACAGAGTAGAAAACTTTGGCACTTAAAAGTGAAAGATCTGTACTTGGATTTGAATGCTCAGATTGACTTTGGTTGTGATAAAAATAATATTAGTTCAAATGGTTTATATGGTTAATAGTGACCGAATAAGTGTCTAATATCGTAATGAACATAAATTGGAAATGTCTTAAACTTTAGGCTTAGAGGAAGTTGGATCATGTTAATGAGAGAGGAACCTAAAGTGCGGAGAAGTCTGATAGTTAATATGAATAATTCGAAACGTAAGGATACTTGTGACAATTAACACTTAAACTAATATAACAATCAATCTGCTTGTACAGACACCCTAGGGGGCCACATGGAGACGAGCTGGCCTCTTGATTAGTGAGAGCATAATGCAGTCGTGTTGCGTCAAGCTTATGAAAAAGATGGCAATGCAGGGTTTCGGAAGTAGTGCCACGTGTAATAAAAATCATTGGAAATTGGCCCAGTGTTAGTTTCACTTAACAGTCGTTTCTAAAAGTTTTCAGTTGGTACCACTCCTGATATTAACTTTTTCTGGCTGACCAGTGTGACACCTTTACTATGTTCCATAACCAAAGAATAAGTTTTGTTAATGTCCTTGAAATTATCATAATTGGTATAAAGATTTGGCCCTTCTGGTTTAAAAACATTTTAGGTGCTATAACTTCATAGTTTTGACGTGAACCGAGACACGTCCCCGAAAGTTATAGATGCAGAGGATGGCTGGATTACCAGCATTTAAAATGTAAGCAATTATTAGTAATCTTAGGTAGGAAATTAAAGATTTTGTAACATTTTCAGAAATAATGTTTTAACCTGAGAAATGCCTTTTGATACTGTTTAATCAGAACTAACTGTTACGTAAACTCCATTATGGCATCAGAGGCCATGCACTGGACTACATAGAATCCTAATCTTAGTGATACACCAATGTGTAGCCATCAATGATATAACCTCTCCCACTCTACCAATAACAGTTGGAGTGCCACAGGGCAGCACCTTGGGACCTCTCCTATTTCTTAAAAAAAATAGGCAGATCATTGATGTATATAACATTCTGAAACCTATATTGTTTGCCGATATTACCCTTGTCTACTTTAACCGCAACCCACATACACTAAATAATGTAGTTAATAATGAACTGAACTGAAGTCCACCTACGGATGTCAACCAACCAACACTTAAGATGTAGTAGGTCTTCATGTTATTTGGAAGCAAATATACAAATTGAAATCGGCTTCAGATAGACAATGTAAACATTAGTAATAAAAAAGATGTAAATTTTCTTGGCTTATTCCTAGACAAGTCAACTTCAGCACCCACATGCAACACATAACTAAGAGTTGGTATACTCTGCAAAATCATATATGTACCCAACTGTGCTCTCATCTTGTGCACTAATCTATCCCTATCTTAATGATGGTATCTGTGCATGGGGTTCAACCACTGCAAACCACCTAAAGTCCATCACCCTGCAAAAATCTGTTATCGGAATAGTAATCTGGCTTCAGACAGCACTAAGCCCCCTTGTTTAACTCCCTAAACATGCTAAACATACTCTTACTCCACACTGTTGTCAACTACATTTACAGAACCCTGTTAAATGCAAATCCTGCTCTGAAACTCTCCCTGGACAGATGTAATAGGGCCCATTATCACCACACCAGAAATAAATCTTTATCCCCAGAGTCAAATGTAATCTGTGTAAACACACTATGCAAATAAAGGGACCTAGTCTATGGAAGGAACTCCCTAATGAATTGAAAAGGTGTTCAACCTGTGCATCATTAAACAAAAACTAATATACCAAACGTTATCATGTGTGTGTTTTATTACCTTGTTGCTTTGGGTAGCACTATCTAGTGCAATTTTAATGTCCCCATCTTTATGTACCCAATGAGAACAACTTTACCAGTGTTATCATTGTTGTCTTGTGTGCTATCAATTTGCTGTATGGTAATTTAATCAAAGATTAATAGGCACCAATCAAGCTGTCAGAGCTTTACTTTGTTGAATATACCAATGTGCTTTAATATACTTGCTAATCTCTCACATTGCAAGAGAAAAGTATTATATAATCATTTTATTTATTCTGCTAGAATTTACCTACTTAAAATTGTTAGATTAAGGACCCGGCCCGAAACGCTGTGCGTACTAGTGGCTTTAAGAGATTGAGACTACATGGCATGGTATTTACAAACCCAATGTACCCTCTTGTCTATAACTAAAATGTGGTTATGATGCTTTGTGGCTGGAAGTTTAATAACTGCAGTCTATTTTAATGCATTTTGTATTAAACTTGAAAAATATATATGGTAAGAAATAAAGCATCCAGATGTCGGTGTATTTTATTTTCCATTTCACAATACGAATTAAAGTAGATCGTACACACATTTTGGCTGATCTACTTTTGGAGCATGTCTGATAGTTTACCTACACCCTAAATAAGAACAAATAAACGCTTGCATTATGTTAACCTTATTTACTACTGTGACGTGTTATAACTACCGTCATAAAGTATCATTTCATACACTGACGAGGTTATTAACATTTCCATTACCAATGACAGGGAATTGTTTATCACAGGAGATCGTGCAATTGTTATGGCAAGCACTGCTTGAGCGTACACTCGCAACTTTTGTGAAAGAGGCCAGGTGTGGGTAGTCAGTACCATGCAAATTTAGAATTGTAGTTCTGCCTTTATTAGTTATGTACAATATTCTGTTGCTTACATGAACAGCAATCCTGGTAGGTTGTAAAATAAATTTCCTGGAAATAAAGCACCTAAATAGCTTATGACTTCATTTAACAACGTAAGGTATGCAGGAGTTGACCTTAAAATGACAGGAATACCATATGCCAGGGTTAAAGGGCACAGACTCTCTACATACAAACTTGAAGGCCTAGGGTTGAGGCTAATTGAAACATAGCCTGCATGTCCCGTTAACATTTTTCTAAGCGATATCGACAATAATGGGTGACTTGCATAAAAACACTATGTTCATGGTCAAAGACATTTGGGATCCATTACACTCCCAATTGTTTAATGTCTCTGGGACGATTGAAATTGAGTCTTCTCCCTTTGTCTGGAGCAAGACTGTTTTAACACAGAGACAACATAGGAAAAAGACCTCTCTAACCAGTTTGCTCTTCTAGCGTCCAGCCCGTCTCGCTTCATGTAGCTAATCGTTCAATCCCCCCCACAATCAAAATTTGATTGGACAGCATTGTTTTTCATCTGTAATCCCATTCCATCCCTAGTCTGACCCCTGCGAGTGCTACTGGTGCTTTCGCTGGGTGTTTTCTCCTGATACATTTCATTCCACCTCCCCTCTTGCATTTGGAAAAATATCGTTGCCTAAATAAAATGAATAGAGGAAAGGTACAGTTCCCTAAGACAATTCAATAACATGTTTAAAGCGTGTTAGGTATGAAAGTGTGCACGTGTTTTGAAATAATATAAAATATTTAAATTGGAGGGCTAGTTTTAATAATAATAAGCTCTTTAAAAAACAGGCTAGTACCGTTTGTAATACGAACATTTGAATGCTCCAGACAAACGTAAGTCATGTAATGTGAGCAATCAACATACCCACACACTTACCCTTTCACGCCTCTCCTGCCATGTCTGGGTGAATGATTTCTACCCTACATACCCGTTTCCTTCTTAGGTGTACCTTCGTAAACTGGAGCCAATCCTCTTAGCCAGTCATCATGGGCTTGCACACTTCCCTCAATCATCCATGTATAAAACAACTGGTCAGTTCTCGTGGCAGTCATCCTCGGCACATTTATAAATCAAATGTATATAAATGTCCTAATTGAGGTTCACTGAGCCAGCTCCGGTTTCTGCGCCTTGGCATGTTCCCATTATTTCCAATCTGCTGCCATCGTCTGGGGTTCCTCTTCGTTTGATGTGGTTGCCATCAGCGTTCCCAAGTACCATGTTTCCTAACGTACAAAGTCAGCATGAGCGTGATTCATATATTCCTGCTGATGCTTGCACTGCCCATTTGTACCGCAGACCTGTTAAGGTAAAAAAGAATGAAATTTAAATCAATAAATGTAAACAGGCATTAAATGCATTGTATATTAGACTACAATAAGTTTCATTACTGGACCAAATTTTACTGGATGTTCTGTGGGGAACTTGTTGAAAATCTTCCCAGTTTTGCATTCGTTTCATTCCTAAACAAAACTACTACACACTTTTGGTTGGGCCAGCATTACCGATCATCAGCTCTTGGGCGGGGGCCCTGCCAAGAGGTTCTCGACTCTCCAATTTACATCATAACTTTGGATCCAATATCAATCCCATCATACGGATTTCTTTCCTCAATACTATGAAGTTTTGCTGCAGAACGTTCCATCAACACAATCATATGAAACCAGAGGGCAGAGTGACCCATTGGGTGTGACTTGTTAATGACTCGTGAAGTACCTCATCTCTGGATGTGACTTCCTCATGTATAATACGTATTTTGTCCCTACTCTCTCCCCGCTACCATGACTACAACCACCCATCAGGCAAACATTTGCAAAAATGCATATACACTATTTCTGATCGAACTGAAAAGCCCTATGGTAATATTGTAAAGAATACTTGTGCTTTTATGCATTGGGATAACACATCTTCCATTATTTCGTGCGGGGATATTGACCATTTTGTGTGACTTGCAAAGATAGATCTTGCTTTTCGGGAAAGTGTCAGAGCCCTCACTCTTGAGAGAACACCATCACATCTTATTATTTGTTTTAGCCTCTAAGTGGGTGCATCTATGGTGAGCCATATTTGAATTAGGTTATCACAGTAACAAGGTTATCGTGCATATGTGACAGTTTTAAAGGAAGGTGCAAAAATAAGGAAACCCGACCTATTTACTCTTTTGCTTTAATAACGTGATCTCTTGTTGGTGGAATGTTGAGTTTGATGTTCCGGCCTTCAGTTGCTTCACATTCCAGTAGGTAATGCAACGGCGGCATTTCTACATCTGTTCCTAAGATATGATGTTACATATTGAATTTATTACCTTCCAGCAGCACTTGCAGTCAAGTTTGAGTCTGTTTCTGGCTACTGCAATGTCTCTGGATAGCTTTTCCCAGGCTTGAACGAGGAGTACCCAGTGGTTTGGGTCTCCCCTACTTTGCCTGTGTGGCTACTTTCCATACATGGGAGTATTTCCTCCTTGATTTGCTTCTTAATCTGTGAGAAGCTTTGAGGTATTTTTACCTGTACAGCAGTTAAAGAAGTGGCACTTTTTGCTAGCGCGTCTAACTTTTCATTACCATCTATGCCAATGTGACTTGGTATCCAATTTAGGGTGATTGACAGTCCTAGATTATGCGCTTGTTTTCCTGTATGTAAAATTTCGGTAACGAGTTTCATATTATCTCCATGCTGCCTAGATAATAATGCTTGGAGCGAAATATTTAGAGGCGGTATGAATGATGACATGTTGTTGTAAATTAATCTCAAATGCATAATTTATAGCCTATTTCAGGGCACATAATTCTGTTTGCAATGTCGTGCACCCACTGTTCATGTTCCAGTAAGTTTCATGGTTGTTGCTGTAAACTGCTGCCCCGGTGGAATCTTTGTTGATCAACTGATCCATTTGTGATGATGTCAGTGGTTGTCGGTCTTGAAATATTTTTCATTTGTTGTTCTATGATTGCTTTGATCCTCTGGGAGTCACATGCTGATTTTCTAGCTGGTAATCCATTAATGATTATCTTTAGTCTCGGCAGCCTTCTCCGTGGGAGCAATCGAAAGTATGATATGGACTGTCTTGTGCTTTGTTTCTATTGGTCCTTGTCAAGTCCACTTTCTCTAGAATCTTGACTAGATTATCCGTCCATGTACTCGGTCTATTTTGAAGGTTTCTGTGAAGCGATCTGTGTATCCTATCTTTGATTGACAGTCTGGTTGTGGTTCCAACAAGTTTTGCTGTTATTGAGGCTATACTTTGAGTCTGTTTTCTAAGGCTGGCAAGCTCGTTTAAGTTCTTAAATTTTTCTCGCCGCGTCCAATTAGGTGGTCCCAGCATTGTTCTGAGGGCATCATTTTGTGACACTTGGAGTCTTTCCCATTGGTTATTACTAAGAAATGTGAGAGCAGGAGCAGCATAATCAATGAGTGACTTAACTGCTTGAACGTATTTACATTGTGAGTACTGGTAGGGTTGCTCCATCTCTAAGACTTGTGAGGGAGCACAAAGTTAAGTTACTGGCTTTGCAACGTTGCCGAAGAGAATCAATTTCCTGAGTGAATTTCAACTGGCTGTCTTTTATGACTCCAAGCTGTTGAAAAGACGTGACCCACTCAATTTCGTGTCCTTGTTTTGCGAGTTTGATGTCATTTGAATGGTCAGTGCTTTGGTTTCATTGCTGTTTATTTTCAGTGGTATGCGTTCCTCTTCTCTGATGATGTCTAGGCATTTTTGTGGCTGATTCCTGGCCTTTGCTTGATGCCTTTGGTATTGAATGACCACAAAATCGCCTGCATAGTTAAGCAGTTTAGCTTTTGGTAACGTAATCTTCATGAATTGTTCCATGAGATAGCAGGGAGGAATACTAAGCCCCTTCCTCTTCAATTGAGTCCCATTTTCCAGCCCCTTTGAGGATATATTTGTTTGAAAAAGGACTATAGCTTCTCTCTTGAGTAGACTTTGGCAAAGGCGTGTTGGTTGATTTCCTTAGCCACCAGGCAGCACACAGTATAGCAGGATTATTAGCTATCTCAAAAGCGTTTTCAAGGTGAAGACAAATAAGGATTCCGATTTGTCATTGAGTTGATGTAGGAGGGAGGAAAGGCAGTCTGTGGTATCCACACGTTTTGTGAAAATAAACATATTTCGGTAAAGTGGTTTGGCTTTGCATTCAATTCGACTAAATGCCATTCTTTGCACAGTTTTGGCCAGACAGGTTGTTAATAAGATAGAGCTTGGATTTCCTGGGTCTTTGCAAATATAGTTCCCATTCCCAAGTTAGTTTCCATTCTACCAAGAGAGTGGTCGAGTTCTTGTCACCCAAACTTTGTTGATGAGATTCAAGAAGGCTTCTTCACCTCTTTCCTTTATCTTAGCAGCATGTTGTATGTGATTTTGTCCTCGCCTGGAGGTGTGTTTTTAGTTTTCTTTGCAGCTCTTTTGAATTCATTCAGATGAAAAGGTTGGTCTACTTCAAGTAAGGTTAAAACATCGTCCATTTGTTTCCATGTTTCATTCTTTGTTGGTACGTCAGAGTTGCTTGAGTGGAACTGGCTCTTGAAGCAAATAAATTTGCTAGTCATTCTGCTTCTTGCTCTCGATGTTCATGATAGGATGGAGCAGGCGGCGATTTTCCTTTGGCCCTGTTGATCTGCCTCCAGATGTCGCCCAAGAATGTATGCTGATTTAGCTCGGCACACCATTCGAGCCATTTTTCGTCATTGATTTTTGCTGTTTCTTCATGCACATGATCTTGGACAGCTCTAAGAATCCCTAAAATAGCTTCGGTTCTGTCTCATCTGAAATTCTTTCATGCACAATTTAGTCTTGTATAGTTGTTTCATGTTATCACAGTAATACCACTGGTGCTTATGTTTTTAGGTAATTGTTTTCTTGTGGATGGCATTATTTGCTGCTCTATGTATTGCACTGACAATCTTTTTCCATTTCTTCGGTGTCATCACGAGAAGTGTAGTTTTGGTGCTTAGTTTCGTGAGATTCCTAAAATTTCTTCCATTCTGCTTTGATAAAATCCCATCCTTGCTCGGGAGTTGGAGGTCTGGGAGGTAGTGCTATATTACTAACTGCTGTTTTTGTAGCAAAGTGGTCACTAGTCAGTACATGGTCAACTGACCAATGACACAACTCATAAATACTGGTGGAGACAAACGCATGGTCTACATTCCTCCACCAATGTGGGTTGGTTCCGTCGAGTTAAGCAGACTGACTTCAGGCAATTTATCCCAAAGGTGTTCAATGTCTTCCATTGGCTTCGATTCTTGGCGAGTCAAGTAGCAAATAACTATGAGTGTTTAAGTCACCCGAGATGATAGGTGTGGTGACTGCTATTTCAAAGATTGCAGAGAGCTATATCGTGTTCTCTATGGCTCCTGTATACGTTGAAGATGGACAACATTGAGTTCCTCATTGTGAGATTAACACATAATTTCGACGTCCTCACCACCGTTAGGCATGTCTGTGATTGTCGTGGCATTGATACAATTTTTTACTAGTATTAAAGTGCCTCTGGTACCACCTTGTGCAATTGGGGAGTGTTAACCTTGATATTCAGGAATACTGATATTAGATTCAGTCCTAGTAAGTGTTTTTTGAAGTAAAACAATGTCAATGTTGTTCTCGAGAAGCACTGCTCTGAGTGTTTGAACTTTTTTAATCTGCGGATATTTCATTGTATAATCTTGAGATTGTCCATTATTCTGTTAGAGTTGAATCCATCGAGTCCATTGTGGTTTGTATTGTGCTAATTTCCCTGATGGTTTGTGTCTTGTTTGCTGGAGTGGAGACTGTCATTGGGAGCTGAAACAAATAGGTTTCGCTTACTTTTTCGAGTTTGACTTCCTTGACGTTTTGAGGTAGGGCTTGTAGACGTGTGGTAGAAATAAGTTTAGAAATGTGTTTTTTTTACATCTTAACATTTCCTCCATCGACTGTGGGTTGCTGTGTTCCAGTGCTTGGAATGCTTTGTCGAGCATCTCGCTGAAGATCTCTGTTAGGGAGGCAATGAGCATTGGAACAGTGATAACTTGATACGCCTTTGGCTGCCTTTGTTTTTATCTTGGTAGATGGTTGGGTGGTGGTGTCTGCTATATCCAACTACTGGGCCATTTGATGATGTGTGTCGTCATTTGTGCTTGTAATGTGTATTGCAGGCAATAGCAGATGTGTTACTTTTGATAACCTGATCTGTTGTGTTGTTGCCTTGTGGGGTAGTGGTTTGTTTTCTCTAGTTAATCGAGGTCGTGTTCTTGTTTAGACGAAGAAATTCAACTAAATATTACCTACAGTCTAGAGTATGGA